TAGCATTGGCACACATGAGAAGAGTAAGCCTGTCTTTCATAGGCTTATGTTCTGGGAGTGCCTTTTCCTCCTGAGTAATGTAGGTCCTGCTTGGCATTTTCTTCCAAAACAGGCCTGTTTCGTCGCAATTAAACACTTGTTCAGGTTTCAGTCCTTCACTGTCTATGTAATCCTTGAATTCCTTCACATATTTTTCAGCTGCTTTTTGGTCCGAACTGGCAGCCTCACCATGCCTAATCACACTATGTATGCCACTACGATTCTTAAATCTCTCAAACCAACCTTTGCTGGCCTTAAATTCACTCACATCACCACTAGTTGCAGGCAATTTCTTTTCCAAATTGTCATGCAACTGCCTAGCCTTTTCACAAATGATCGCTTGAGAGATGCTATCTCCTGCTATCTGTTTTCATTTATCCACACCAATAACAATCTCTCAGCATTTTCTAACACTTGCAGTCGCTGTTTCGTAATCACAGTTGCACCTTTTGCAAGAACAGCTTCCTTGATTGCCGTTTTCCTTGTCACTATAGTAGAGATGGTTGATTGGGGTTTAATATACAACCTAACCAGCTCCGACACACGCACTCCACTTTCGTACTTTGCAATTACAGTGGTCCCTCGCTTTTCGTAGTTTTCGACAATCGTAAATTTTGCCAATCTTAGGGGTATTTTCGTATAAACATGGACTCGCTTTTCATAGGCTGACTCGCGAATAGTAGTTCGTCCGGGACGCGTATGCACGGTGTGAGCCGGGGCGGCCTCCTTACCCAGCCAGTCTGGCATTGTTTACCAGTGAGTGAAGGTCCTCTCAAGTGCTCCTACGAAATATTTCATAATATTCCACTCATTTTATTGCTTGCAAGTATTAAATAAGCTGCCATGGCTCCAAAGAAAGCTCCTAGTGCCAAACCTGTGGTAAAGAAGGTGAGAAATATGTACAGTGACAAAGTCTTGGGCCATTTTAGGGAAGTGTTAAAGAGATGCCAGAAACAGAGCTCTCTCCACAGTTACTTTGCGAGACAGGACTAGAGTGAGTCTCAAGGTGGTCCTAGTGGCATTAAGAAACAGAGAAGAGAAGCAACCCCAGAGAAGCAATTGGTACCTGAGGTGTTGCTGGAAGGGGATTCCCCTTCCAAACTGTAAACAATCCAATCTCTCTCCTCCTCCAGTCTCCTATACACTAAGAAGAATCTCCAATAAAGGTAAGTGTTATGCTGTTAATGTTTCATTCATCATATTGTATTGTTTATGTACTACGTGTATATTTCATGTAAAAATTTTTTTTGTTTTAATACTTCTGGGTGTCAGGAACAGATTAATTGTATCTACATTATTTCTTATGGGGAAAATTGATTCGCAAATCGTAAATTTCGTTTATAGTAACGGCTCCAGGAACGGATTAATTACAAAAAACGAGGGACCACTGTATCTCTTTCTTCATTTCATAAGTCATTAGCGACTTTTTTCTCAAAGGGTTGGCACTAGAAGCTTTCTTGGGGTCCATGGTGACTTATTTTGCAGAAACAAGCACCAAACACAGCAATAATATGGATAATATGGAATGTACCGAATATATCCTTAGATGTGCGCACACTGGCTGGCTTGTAAACAGTGGCACACACACTGGGCAGTTCAGGCCACACGTGGACACGTCTCATACGAATCGTATCGAATACCGAGGAAAATTTTTTGCGATATAATGCATCGAATACCGGATTTATCAAATACCGATGCCATCGAATATCGGGGGTCCACTGTACTTACGTTGTCTCCCACTCAAACCCGGCTATACTTAAAAACACTGTAAACAACAGTCTACTAAAAATAGGTACATGGATGATGCCCAATAAACTCTCTCTCAGCATAGACAAAACCTGCTTCATGCTGTTTGGGAACAGAACCTTAAATATCCAGCTTAATATATTGATACATGTTTCCCCCATTACAAGACTCACCAAGGGTAAATTTCTAGGTCTTCACCTTGATTGTAACCTTAAATTTCAGGCCTACATCCAGTGTATATCCAAGAAAGTTTCCAAAGCAGTAGGCATTCTCTCCAAAGATTTGGGACTATGTACCCCAAACTGCACTCTGTACTTTTGATAATAACCCATGTGCAACATCCTTTCATTTCTGATACCACTCTCTAATATACCCTTACCTCACCTTTGGTATTTGTGCTAGGGGATCGACCACGGCCAATCACCTTAAACCTTCAATAACTCAACAAAAAGCTGCTGTGCAGATGATCACCAACCCCTGTGCCACACAGCACACCCTACCACTCTTCAAGAGCTTGAACTTATTTAATATACAAAATATACACTCATTTTATTGTGCCTACTATATACAGTGGACCCCCGGTTAACGAACTTTTTTAATTCCAGTAGTATGTTCAGGTGCCAGTACTGACCGAATTTGTTCCCATAAGGAATATTGTGAAGTAGATTAGTCCATTTCAGACCCCCAAACATACACGTACAAACGCACTTACATAAATACACTTACATAATTGGTCGCATTTGGAGGTGATCGTTAAGCGGGGGTCCACTGTATACAGAACATTAAACTCCAATATAAATCTTCTGCTCAAACTTCTCCTTGATATCTACAGCAGAACACACTGGCATAACACGAGAAATAAAACACTCTTTGACATCCTTTGTGTCCGTCTTGCACTTTGCAAAAATGCAATGCACAGAAAGGTCCTGAAGATTTGGAATTCGTTACCCAAACCGGCAAAATGTCCCCTGCCTACAAACAAATTTATTGCTATACTTAAAAATGATCTCATCTCTCAATATTAACCAAACCAACACTATGCTAAATCATCTAATAGTTTGAAGCAACTCTCTCAAATATTTTATGACCTAATTTATTAAAACATTAACACACATTTAAAATAATACTGTTGCACCAGTATTAATTGTACTTCTTGTAATATTGTTATTAGTTATGTGCTACACCAAGACTATTAATCTTTATCTTTAAAACTTTTGATTACCTCACAGTAGAAATAAGATAAAATAATGAATTTTTAAAAATTAACCACTCTTAACCTGTCTAGACTTAATTAATCGTTAAACTGTCCAAGTGTAGATCTACGTTTGTATCGCTAGCGCTCCAAACATAGATCTGCGTTTTATTTTTCTGTCTCCAAATTTAGCACAATTGGCCTGAGATGCCTGGTCAGTATAGAATGGGTCTTAACACTCAGTGTATGCAGTATTAAAAAAATTTGGGACCACTTAGTACCTTGTGGGAGCACCAGTTTAATTGAGCACCAGCTAGAGCAAATAGCATGGCAAACACCAGGGATTCACTGATGTCATGTCATATTAACACTCCCCTTTTAAAAGGAAAGTGATGTTGACCCAGAGTTTAGTGGTTTTGAGATGGATGTGGCCACAAGTGGTCAAGGAAATATCAGAAACTTTGATAATAACCCATGTGCAACATTTGTGCAACATCCTTTCATTTCTGATACAACTGGTAGTGTATCCTGCCAGAATGTCCTATAACCTGTGCACTATGTAAAGAGAAAAGGTTCTAGAACATGTGTAATACGTATTCAGCAGGCTGGCTGGCCGGCTGGCCGGCTGGCCAACTGACCGACTGACTGACTGACTCACTCACTGACTGACTCACTTGCTGACTGACTCACTCGCTGACTCACTCACTCGCTCACTCACTCACTCACTCACTCACTCACTCACTCACTCACTCACTCACTCACTCACTCACTCACTCACTCACTCACTGTCTCTGTATCTGTCTCTGTCTATCATAGGTATGCATAAGTATATTATTATACAGTGTAAATTACCTAGGATAACCCAAAAATTCCAGGCAGAGTGCTATACACATGTCTGACAGACACACATGTTTGTGTGTAACTGTGAAAACAAATAAAGCCAGAGTTTCCTGGAGCAGTGCACATTCATCAAATGTCACTCCACTGCTGCACTGTGAGCAGTTTATTGACACTTGTCTTAATATCATGCTTCAAGGAGTTTCATATATACTCCAGCATGTCTAAAACATTGCTAAGACAAATAAATACTTTCTGTATATTTCTAGATAATAGTAACTGACCAAGGCAGGTGAATATGTTCACCTGTCAGTGTGTTTGGGACTGAGTACTATTTCATTACCTAATATTAGTGTCAGACCAAAGATTGGCAATGAAATCACAAGAACTACTGTAAATTGTTATTATTAGAACATAAAAATTATATAAATTAAAAACGAGAAAAAAAGTTATGTCGGCAACACTTCTGCAAGCGGCAGGACTTGATGTTGCCATCAAGTGAGCATCCAGCACCAACTTCATAGGCTTATATCTTGGTAAGCATTGATCATAATTTTTTTTTATATTATAATGTGTAGGATAATGTCCTCTTCATTTAAAAAAAAAAAAATTTCTTTTTTTCTTTTTTCAAAATATTCGGAGTGCTGGGCAAGTGAACATAGATGTATGTTTGGACAGTTTAAGGGTTAAGTAGCCTTTAAGTAGTAAGATTAGCCTGCCCAAAATGCCCTGGCATGATAGTGGCTTTCTTTGTACTTAATTATTTTATTTTATTTTATTAACACAACGGCCATCTCCCACCAAGGTAGGGTGGCCCGAAAAAGAAAAACTTTCATCATTCACTCTATCACTATCTTGCCAGAGGTGCACTTACACTACACTTATAAAACTGCAACATTAACACATTCAGAGTGCAGGCACTGTACTTCCCATCTCCAGGACTCAAGTCTGGCCTGCTGGTTTCCCTAAATCTCTTCATAAATGTTACCTTGCTCACACTCCAACAGCATGTCAAGTCCTAAGTTGCTCATATCTAACATGCTCACGCATTGTAACCTTTGCAAAGAAATAAATTTTGCTTTGACTTTGACTATGTATGGCTTTTTTAACATGCTGGTTGTCTCCTACCAAAGCAGTATGTATGCATGCATGTAAATAAATAAATGTAATGTAATGCAACTTGCAGAAGCGACCTGGCAGACAGATAAGACGAAAAACGAGGTGCGGGTAGTGTTAGAGAAGGATCCAAGCGGTGGAGGTGCCCTCCTCAGATACTTCAGACAGGTTAAGGGCATCCCTAAGTCAGAAGTCAAGTACCAACTGAAGGGAAACTACCGTCGCATTGACACAGAGCTGACTATTTCCTGCACACTTGATCAGTCCTCCATCACAAGGGTAAGAAGATTGAAGAAATCAGTTCCACATGCAAAACATCTTGATGAAGCTCCTCTCTGAAGTTGTCTTTTTTCACTTTCATACTGACAGGAATGGTAATTTTTTCTTTCTGTCATGGAACACTTAAGATGACACTTAGATTTTACAAACTTTCAGTATACGCTGATGTTTTCTTTCATACAGTTTGTTCTCCAAAACATTTCCTCTGTATATAGCTGAAATGGTTGCTTATAAAAGTACTATATTAGGATATACCTGCATGATGGAAATTGTTACACCACTTACTGTTGAATTAGGGATTTCCTATCTAACAGAGATGTTATTTTACCAACCTGCTAGTAAATATACAGGAGTGTGTGCAGAAATGACAAGCCTCAACAGCTGTCAGCAACAGTAGTGTGTGATGCACTAACAAAGGACGAGGCAACAACATTATAAAACCATGAAAAGGTACTCTCTCAGGAGCTACAATAGACTGACAGTTAGACTATAATTAGACTGCACAAAATTGTCTTAACACTATTGAAAAAGTGAAGCCAAAAGAAATTCATACTTTGTAAATTTTTAAAATGTTAATTATCAGTCCACTCATTGAGCCATGACCTGTACCTCCCTGCTATATATGCCAAACCATGAGTAGTGTCTTTCCCAGCTTCCCACCATTCTTGCTGAGGTCTAGACTCCTGTGTCACTATGGTTCAAGCAAGTGAATTTTTGACTGACAAGGTTTTTAATGGGGCTTGATGTTATGGTTGAGACTCCTATGTTGAATTTGGAAAGGGTTGGCTTTATTATTCTACTGTGTGGCCTATAGGAAAGCCAAGTTTATGCTCAGTGTTGCTATCTACTTTGGGCATGGTGATTATTTTGTTCTCTTATTTCATACACTTCCAGGTGATGTGCATAGGAAACATTCTCCTTGCATTCTTCCTACTATAACTACCACTACATAAGGATCTAATGTATCACTAACTCATCTAAAAACATGTATGTTCAGAAGTTATCTCTTTAACTTTCTATTCACCAATATATTATCTTGCAAAACTGTATTCGATGTGCACTTCATCAAATGTAACTAATACTTATTATCCTTCTTTGCATTGTTGTTTTTGTTTATGCAATAAATGTTGACATCCATACCAACAGCCAAGAGCCATCATCTTCCTACATTCAGAAGCTGAGTGTTATGCAGAGCTCCTACTGGACTTATTTGAAGAGGAGGCTGACCAGGTGATCCTCGTCATTACTTACTTCTCTCACAACCTCAGGTTCAGGATTGGACAGGTATGCTCAGCTTCCAACATAACTGGAATTATTGTGTAGTTATGACAGCATACAGTATTTTATAGTTCATGCTTTATGGTGTTTAGCCCCTAAACAGGTCCAAATGTATGTGTATATATTTTTATATATATATATATATATATATATTTTATAATATTTATATATATATATATATATATATATATATATATATATATTATATATATAATATATTTATATATATATATATATATATATATATATATATATTATATATATATATATATATATATATATATATTTATATACAATGTACGTTCTTACGCGTAGCGAAATGTGTATGTACCTTTTAATTTTCCTTGCCTTCAAATTTGGCACGATTGGCTTGAGATGCCTGGTCAGCATAAAATGGGTCTTAACACTGTGCACAGTATTAAAAAAAATCTGGGACCACTTAGTACCTTGTGGGAGCGCCAGTTAAATTGAGCCCCAGCTAGAGCAAACAGTGTGGCAAACACCAAGGATTCACTGATGTAATGTCATATTGACACTCTTCTTTTAAGAGGAAAGTGATGTTAACCCCAAGTTAGGGTCTGTCGATATCTGTCTATCTGTCTCTGTCTCTATCTGTCTCTGTCTATTTGTCTCTGTCTATTTGTCTGTCTCTGCCTTTCTCTATCTGTCTCTGTCTATCTCTTTCAATCTGTCTTTATCTATCTCTGTCTCACAGGTACACATAAATGCAAGTATACATAGTATAAATTACCTAGGATAACCCAAAAAATCCAGACAAAGTGCTATACTCTGCTTGAAGATGTGAGTAAACGTGATGACGCAGCCTTGTGGCTCTCTCTGAGACAGAGAGCTAGACAGATAGACAGTGAGCTTGACAGACAGACAAATAGACAGAAATGTTTGTGTACCAGCGAAAACAAAGGAGGGCGATGCTCATCAAATGTTACTTCTAATCTTTACTTATCAGCTGCACCCTCCCCCACCCTCGTGTATGCTCATGAAAAGTCAGCTCTTATCAGATGTTATCTCATCTTATCATGTCACTGTCAGGGGTGGACTTGGTTCCTCCTCCTCCTCCTCCTCCTCCAGCATCATCATCATCATCAAAAACTCCGACCTTTTTTTTTTATTATTAAAATGCCGACCTTGTGGTCTATTTTCGTATAGTATTTATTGTTGTATTCTCGTTTTCTTGGTCTCATTTGATAGAATGAAAAACATATTATATAAATAGAGGTGATTTTGATTGGTTTTTCTATAAAAAGAACCTTGAAATGGAGCTCAAAATAGGGGAAATGTTTGATTTTTGCCGATGTTCAAAAGTAAACAAATGATGTCATTGTCCAATAAATGTCCAACTAGCCATTCTAATATGCAGTCATGAATGGGTTGACATTATTTGTACAATTATTACAGTATTGCAGTAGTCTGTATAACAGTAAAGGTTCTATTTTTTGTTTGAATAAAAATTCAAAATAGTAAGCAAGAGTAATATCAGAGGGGCCTGGAGATGTGACTGATGAACAAAGAAAATGTTATTTTAGAGCCAGGAATGTCTGTATTGTTCATTCTGGACCTTATTTTGAAATTGTCATATTTTTTTAATTTTTGTGAAATTGGCCAAATTGCAAATTTCTGACCACGTTATTGGGTAGTTGAAATCATTAAATAGGCAGTTTCTTGTACTCAACCGATAGAAAAAATGGAGTTCTAAAGAAATAGCTATGAGTTTGGTCGACTGGAACAATGGAATTAGCCGAAAATTGGGCTCGAAGTTTGCTAACTTTGAAAGAGCGTAATTCTGTCAGTTTTCCATCAAATTTCGTTTTTTTTGGTGTCATTACAATCAGGAAAAGATTCTCTATTATTTCCTAAGAATTTTTTTTTTTTTTTGGAAATTTTGCGACACCAGGAGACACCTCAGGATTGGGGTTGCGACAGTCAAGGGGTTAAGGGTTAAGCAAGTGGTGTGTATAAAGTGTAAAGACCATGACATTTGTAAAATTATGTTCCTTTTTATATTGCAATCATGAAGCTTCTCTATTCCCTGGATTCCACTGTCAAAACCTTTTAACTTTAGAAAAAGCTATGAAAGCTCAACATGCATTGGAAAGTATGTAGGTGTTCAGGTGTTGTTCATCATGACCAGTGATACACTGCTGACTGACTGACTACCTCCTTCATTGACATTTAGGAGCCAACAAATATTGCTTTCTCCCTCTTCCATAAATAGATACTGTATAACAGATACATATTAAATACAGTTGCAGGTGAAAGACAGCAGACATCAGAGGCAGAAAGTTAGGGAAGCAGCAAAGGAAAAAAAAAAAGGCATTTGTTTTTAACACAGATTTGCTTATTTTGTAATTTTCATGGCAAAGCTTGTCTTTTTTCCACTTTTCATCTTTTGTCTTATATTGTTGTTTTCCAGATTCTCACAGATTATGAAGCAATGCACATAATTTTGCCTTGTTACAGTGAACCTCAGATTTAATAGCTTGTTGGGGGCAAATATGTCCATTAATGCCAATTGTCCAATTGTTACGAAGTTTGTGGGAACTCTAGGGGGTAAACACTCTCTAGGGGTAAGCACATTGGTCTTAATTACACAAAATTATTAAAATAAAACCTCCCTAGGGTCACACTCCCTGGTAAACTCTCAAGCACCACTAAACTCGTGGTCAGTACTGTGATTAATAAACCTTAGGTATGATCTTCAAGGAAGGTCAAATAAACTTTACTTTAGAAAAATAAACTTATAACTTATATTATTGACACAAAATTGTTACACTCTTCCTTGTTATATTTCACAAAACATTAGCTTATACATGTAAATTCTTTCTAAATGATTACAGTAAGGCTGTCAGTAAATTAACATGCCCAGTGTCCCCTAGCAGGTCAGTAAACTAGCTGTTTTTTTTTTTGTTCCCTTCCTTCACACACGCTCCACTCCAACAACAGGGCTAGATACCTCTGAGGGCTTATGTGATCATGAAATAAACACTAAATGTATTGTATGCCAAGACAAAACCATTCCCATTACTAAATTTACTAATTGTAATATTGTTACATGTTTTGTACTACCTCACTATTAAAAATCTAATTAATCACTTCAATTACCTAACTTTATATCTGTATGCAATAACGTATATTAAAATGTACTGCTCCATAACCTGTGCCAATATAGAGTAAGAATTAGGATTAGTTTGCCTGAAATGCCTAGGGATGCTAGTGGCCTTCTTAGTAATAAATATATTATAATATGTAAACCATGGTTGTTTAATATATTTGTAGATGGGGTTGTAAAGGAAGTAAATGCTAGGGTGTTCGGGAGAGGGGTGGGATTAAATTATGGGGAATTAAATACAAAATGGGAAGTGACACAGTTACTTTTTGCTGATGATACTGTGCTTATGGGAGATTCTAAAGAAAAATTGCAAAGGTTAGTGGACAAATTTGGGAGTGTGTGTAAAGGTAGAAAGTTGAAAGTGAACATAGAAAAGAGCAAGGTGATGAGAGTATCAAATGATTTAGATAGAGAAAAATTGGATATCAAATTGGGGAGGAGGAGTATGGAAGAAGTGAATGTTTTCAGATATTTGGGAGTTGACTTGTCACCAGATTGGTTTATAAAGGATGAGGTTAACCATAAAATTGGTGAAGGGAAAAAAGGTTAGTGGTGCATTGAGGTATCTGTGGAAACAAAAAACGTTAGCCATCGAGGCAAAGAAGGGTATGTACAAGAGTATTATGGTACCAACACTCTTATATGAGTGTGAAGCATGGGTTGTTAATCCTGCAGCGAGAAGGCGACTGGAGATGCTGTGTCTAAGGGCAATGTCTAGTGTAAATATTAAGCAGAGAATTCGGAGTGTGGAAATTAGGAGGAGGTTTGGAGTTACTAAAAGTATTAGCTAGAGGGCTGAAGAGGAGCTGTCATTTAGAGAGAATGGAAGAAAATAGAATGACTTGGAGAGCGTATAAATCTGTAGGGGAAGGAAGGTGGGGTAGGGGTCATCCCTGGAAAGGTTGGAGGGAGAGGGTCAAGGAGGTTTTGTGGGCGAGGGGCTGGGACTTCCAGCAAGCATGCGTGAGCGTGTTAGATAGGAGTGAATGGAGACAAATGGTTTTTGGTACCTCACGAGCTGTTGGAATGTAAGCTGGGTAATATTTTGTGAAGGGATTCAGGGAAACCAGTTAGCTGGATTTGAGTCCTGGAAATGGGAAGTACAATGCCTGCACTTTAAAGGAGGGGTTTGGGATATTGGCAGTTTGGAGGGACGTCTAAACTGTCGTATCTGAGAGCCTCTGCAGACAGTGATTATGTATGAGTGATGGTGAAGGTGTTGAATGACGATGAAAGTTTTTTCTTTCTTTTTGGGTCACCCTGCCTCGGTGGGAAACGGCTGAAATGTTAAAAAAAAAAAAAAATCAAATCATTAGCTTATGTTATCTTTTTCAGTTTCTTCCTTAACACCACAAGGTTGAAGATGGCAGACTTTAGGTTATACTTCTTGTTCTCCAATGTATGTATGCCTCTGGTATCTCTTTCCAGTCTTCTACTTCTTCAGTCACTACTACTACTTCATGTAAGCTTCTAGACTGGTATAGCCTCTTTCAAGCTGCAATAACCCCCTGATCTAGGAGGTAGAAAGATTGCCTTAACCTTACCATCACTGCTGCCTAAGTTTACAACCCTAGGGTAAGCAGGTGTGCAGTCAAGCAACAGAAAAGCCTTGACATCCTCAGTATCTAGCTATAGGACCTCTAGCTGGTGCTCACACTTATGGGCAAAATGTGTAAAAATACAGTCACCAGATACATCCCACTTAAACCAGCCTCTCTGACCCTTGTATTAATTGATAGGTAACTCTTTTTATGCAGTTCTTTAAAGCATGTTGCTGTGCTGATTTACTTGTGATCATCAGCTTCAAATGGTGCAAACCATCAACATTAGCACAGCATAATACTGAGAAGCAATATTTTCTGAGATTACAGCCTGTTGT